GTATTACGTTGGCTCTGGGTTCGTCATAGATGGCTTTTATTACATTGAGGCATGTCCCTTGTATGCCAATTTTGCTGAGAGCTTTCATCATAAAGGATGCTGGATTTTGTCAAATGCTTTTTCTGCATCTATTGAGATGATCACATAATTTTTGTTTTAAATCCTTTTTATGTAATGTATCACATTTATTGACTTGCATATGTGAAACCACACCTGCATCCCTGGTGTGAAACCCACTTGATCATAGTGGATTATCTTTTTGATATGTTGTTGGACTCTGTTAGCTAGTATTTTGTTAAGGAGTTTAGCGTCTGTGTTCATCAGGGATATCAGTCTGTAGTTTTCTTTTTTGATTATGTTCCTTCGTGGTTTTGGTATTAGGGTGATACTGGCTTCACAGAATGAATTACGGAGGGTTTTCTCTTTATCTTGTGGAATAGCGTCAAAAGGATTGGTACCAATTCTTCTTTGAATGTCTGGTAGAATTTTACTGTGAATCCATCTGGTCCTGGACTTTTTTTGTCAGTAGTTGTTTAATTACCATTTCAGTCTTGCTGCTTTTTATTGATCTGTTCAGGGTATCTAATTCTTCATGATTTAAGCTAGGAAGGTTGTATTTTTCCAGGAATTTATCCATCTCTTGTAGGTTTTCTAATTTATGTGTGTAAAGGTGTTCATAGTAGCATTGAATGATCTTTTGTATTTCAGTGGTGTCAGTTGTAATATCTCCTGTTTCATTTCTTAATGAGCTTATTTGGATTTTCTCTCTTCTTTTCTTGGTTAGTCTTGCTAATGGTCTATCAATTTTATTTATCTTTTCAAAGAACCAGCTTTTTGTTTCATTTATCTTTGTATTGTATTTTTTGTTTCAATTTAATTTAGTTCTCTGGTCTTTGTTATTTCCTTTCTTCTGCTAGGTTTGAGTTTAGTTTGTTCTTATTTCTCTACTTCCTTGAGATATGACCTTAGACTGTCAGTTTGTGCTCTTCCCGTCTTTTTGATGTAGGTGCTTAGGGCTATAAACTTTCCTCTTATTGCCGCCGTTGCTGTATGCCAAAGGTTTTGATAGGTTCTATCATTATTGTAGTTCAGTTCAAAGGATTTTTAAATTTTCTTCTTGATTTTGTTTTTGACCCAATGCTCATTCAGGAGCAGGTTATTTAATTTACATGTATTTGCATGGTTTTGAAGGTTCCTTTTGGAGTTGATTTCCAGTTTTATTCCACTGTGGTCTGAGAGAGTGCTTGATATAATTTCAATTTTCTTAAATTCATTGAGGCTCGTTTTATGGCCTATGATATGGTCTATTTTGGAGAAAATTCCATGTGTTGTTGAATAGAATGTGTATTCTGCGGTTGTTGGATGAAATGTTCTGTATATATCTGTTAAGTCCATTTGTTTGAAGGTATAGTTTAAATCTATTGTTTCTTTGTTGACTTTCTGTCCTGATGACCTGTCTAGTACTGTCAGTGGAGTATTGAAGTCCCCCACTATTATTGTGTTACCGTCTATCTCATTTCTTAGGTCTATTAGTAATTGTTTCATAAATTTGGGAGCTTCAGTGTTCGGTGTATATATGTTTAGGATTGTGATATTGTCCTATTGGACAAGGCTTTTTACCGTTATATAATATCCCTGTTTGTCTCTTTTAAATGCTGTTGCTTTAAAGCTTGTTTTGTCTGATATAAGAATAGCTAACCCTGCTCACTTTTGG